AATGCCGCGTCTCAACTAGATCAGGCAACACATGGCGACCGAACGGGAAATCTGTGGTATTGCACTGTTTGTATTTGCCCTTGTCCTGGGTTTAGCTAAAAACCCAGTCCTGTTTAGTGATTTTTACTTTCCGGTTTAGTCTCTTCTCAAAGGCTGCGCGTTCTGAAGTAAGCAGCATGGTTTTTTTTAAATTGAGGGATCACGAGAGTTTCTGGCCTTCTTTTCCCTGTTCTGCAATGGCCGGTGTTCAGAGAGGACTCCATCTGACCTCCTGCTTTTGATCCAGATCCTGAGTTCCCGAATCCAGCTTCTGTATCCAGCTCCCGCCGCTGCTGAGCCTGGGACTTCCCCAGTGCCTCCTGCTCTGCAGCATCAGTGGGGATTGATATCGGGGGAGGGAGTCGGGTTTGGTATCGGGCTACTATCTATAATTGTATATAGTTCTTCACTTTTATCATTCCACTATTATTTCTATTATTGTTTCATTAGAGCTGCTCTAGTTTTTCTTCTCTAACCTGAAAGTCTCTCTGCTTCGTTCCCTTTTCCTTCCCATTTGAGGGGGGAGGAGGGGGTTAGAGAGCATCTGTCCGTATTAGTGGCTGGCCCAGCCCTAACCCGCGACAGCCCTCTTCACAAGTTTAGCCCAAGGAAACAAAAACGGGATTCTTCTTTTTATGCAGTTCAGATACATTGTCAGTCGCAGCATTGTGAGGCTGAATTAACGTGATTTTATGGGCCTCAGCTGGAAACCAACAGTGCACATAATGTTCTGTGGTTTTGGAGCTATTACTTCAAGCAGTCAGGAAAATCTACAGGCATGTGTACATTGAAGTCAAGCTGTCAATTTTAAAATGTGATAACTCCTTTGGAGCAGTTCCACATAAGGATATTTTTAGTCTGTATGAAAGTATGCAAACTTCTAGGATCTCTTTATCCTTTAACTTAAATAATTTCCAGAGATCAAAATGGCACTCATATCTTTATATGCCTTTTTGTAGTTGAGTTTTCTAGAGCAGTTTTCAAAAGCTATTTCTTGTATTAATGAGTTTTAAGATATTTTGAGGAAAAATATCAAATGAGGGTAAAATGATACTATCAGCAAAATTTATGTGTCTTAGAATATTGAACTTTAGTAATAAAAATGTTTTGTTATCTATGTCATGAAGTTTTAATAGATACCACTGGAAATTTATTCTGCAAATTTTATAACTTATGTAGTTTGCTGTGCTTGTATATACTTTTTTGAGTTCCTGTTAGAATGGAATAGTCAAGTGAGAAACCCTAGGGTATTTTCTGACTGGAAAATTTGTGCACGATACATGACAAGTAAAATACATATCTTGCCAATGGAAATTTTCTGAAGAATTTTGGCAACTCTTAGTTTCATTGTTGAGATGGTATGAACCATGGACCTTAGGTCATAGCTACTGTCCAGAGAAAATTCTTATGTCGTTGTACCTCGAGAAATAGCAATGTATGTGGAGTTGATCTGTATACGCAGAGTTCATCTGATTGGCAACTTCAGGTGATCAAGTAGGCCAGTTCTGATGATGATCTTACTGCATTAGCTTATATTTAGGAATCCTGAAGGAACGTCCATATATATATATATTTATTTGGGAGGGGGGGACTGGAACAAATTTCCATGTGGAAAAAGAAGACAAGCACGCCATTTGGGATTAACAGGAAGAAAAGACTTACAGCTCTCTTAGACTCCTTATCATCTTGAGCTCAGTCTCAGAGCGCTGAAAAGCAGAAGGGTGAAAAATATATTTATGATCTTAGCTATGACTCATTTTTCCCAGGTGAATGTCATTTTTTTTAAGGTTCAGTGCTCCAATCGTCCAGTAGTCACCTTCATGTAGTGTTATTTGAAATCCAGTAGAAGAGGGAAAATATTTGGTGGTTGGTTTTGCTTTTTTTAAATAATAACTCTTGCCCCAAAAGGATGATTATCTCTGATTCCCATTCTATTATTCCTGAGTGATTTGAAAACTTAGTTATTTAGCAGCAAAATATCAAATATAAGACCCTCTTGAAAAGTACTAGCCTCATTCTTCACCTTGTACTGTGCTTCTTCTAATGAAAACTATTTGCGTACTGTCTACCTCAGAAAAGATAGGCATCTTCTGGAAATGCCTTCATAAACTGTTACCCTTTTTAAAATAATTTTCATTCTGGATAAGGAATCATAGAAAAATTCAGCATTCCGAGTATAATTATTTCCTAGCTAATTTATCCTGGCTAGTTAACTGCAGTGCTTTCATACTTCAGGTTTAGGGCTTTGTTTTTGCTGTTGTTTTTGATTGGTTGGTTGTTTTTTTTCTTACTATGTTTACTTGATTTTCTTGTGTTTTGCTTGCTTTTAATAACGTTCTAGACTGAATGGACAGTTCCAATAGAAATACATCACCTGCACAGTGCAGTGCTGCTTTCCTTTGTTCTCACTTCAGTGGAATGCCTTTGTGGATTGCAAGCCTATCTTATCAATCATGTTCAGGGGAAGAGATCTGTGCTTTGACTCCTCCCTCTTTCTGGACATGAATAAGGCTCTTGGAGGGGTAAAGAATAATGAATCCATCACTCTGGAAAAAACATCCTGTCGTACAATTTAACACTTGCAGGCTGTCTAAAATGATGTATTTCTTTGCTTTCATTATACCTTGTAAGCAGAGTACAGCTGGTACTTTAACTCCAGCTGAGCTGTAGACATCTTTTCTCTGAATTTCCTTCCATAGTGCTGCAGGTGATGCCAGGAGTATTGGACAGAAAGAAGGACAAGAAACTTACCATCACAGGGGAGCAATGGAAACAAGGATAGAATTTCTTTTTCTAGGGAAGGAGGGATATACTGGAGGATAAAAGGTGTTTGGATTTTTTGAAAGATAGGGACACAATAGTCTTCCAACACCCTGGACAAACTGTTTGTATACACTGTATCCTTTCCTAGTCATCTTTCCTGTTCCACTTGTTCTTTTGGGACACCTACTTTTCAAGTTGTTCTGTGGGAGTAGGCATTTTGGACTAGCTGGACTTTAAAGGTTCAGTCCAGCCCCAATACATTCTGTTTTCACCTGCAGTAGACCCCATTTCCTTTATAGTCTGCCTATGCAGGCTTCAGCGTGAGATGAGAGCATTAGGTTTGTAAGTTATTGGAGACAGGATGGTTTCTACATGCATCTTACAAAGTACCTTGTGCTCCTGGGCAGCCTTAGTTAAAACTCAGATTATTCTGGTAACACTTGGCATCTATGGTGGAAGAAGAGGCAGGAGGAAACAAATATCAAAGTTGAAGCATTGTTCAGGAATAACAAATCAGAAAGGACAGGAATATCATAGGAAAACATTTCACAACATGTGCACTTAAAGATATAAAAAGAGAAGAATAAACAGAGGATGAAAATCAAGTTATGTAAGTAGCTGACTGAAAAATCAGCACTTATTAAAAAAAAATTTAAACCCTTATTTTCTTCTGAACTTCAGTGCTGGGAAGAAAAAGAAGTGGAGGGGGAAAAAAGGAAAAAGAAGAAAACAATATACCAGTCTTGAGGCTAAGGAAAGATTTCATTGTTCCCATGACTCCAATCCGTGACTCCACCTCATTTTTGAATGAAAAATTTATGGACGTCAAATAATGTATCTAGATCCAGAAAAGAACACTGACTTCTTGCTAGGAATGGCAATATTTTTGAGATATTGTATTGTAAAAATACTAAACAAAAATATTTTTAAAAATAATTTTATTTGCAGTATTTCAAATCACTGTGATGAAAGTCCAAGTCACTGCCAGAAAGTGGAAGAAA